TTGAAGGAAGGTGTCAAATTTTTTGTAAGAAGTGGTTTTAGGAGCGCTGTCTTCTTTTGGGAGATTCCTGTCACAGACTAGAAAAAAGTAAGTTTTTACTATATAAGTTCGGGATAGTAGACAGATTGTTAGCAAATGTCTAGGAGCAGGGCGTTCACGCCAGCAAGACCTAGAACAATTTCGCAGATCTATTCATTATCAGTCTAGTTTATTCAAAATAGAAGAGAAGCAGGCAACGCTGGAGGGTATTGTACCGCAAGACAAACGGGTAATTCCATATGATCTGTGTGACCGTAAAGTTGATTGCCGTTGTGGTATAATTATTCACTGTTGCAGGAGACAATGTTATATCGCGTAACAAGAGCAGTTGTCGATCATAAAGGAGTAGATGCGGCGGTGGAAAATCTTATGGACAAGTTTGAGCGTGAAGGAATGCTAAGCCCTTCGGAGTACAATCATGTGATGGGGTTGGTAAGACTTCTGACATTTTTTCTTGTCTAAAAAATCGTTTGCCATTTAGAGCACTTTGGTCGTACGTATGCACTGCAACACCAGCAGGAATGAGGTGCTCTATAAAATGATGTATGGAAGCGTGATAGCACATGAAGTGAAGAAAAAGGCTACATTAGAATTTGCGCAGACCGTCATAACGGGATTGAAAAGCATAGTGGTGGAATGGAAAGGTGGCGAAAAGGAACAACTTTGGGTAAGCTTAACTCATTCTACAAAGGTGGCTTTCAGATAGGCTCCTAGCCTTACCCGAAAACGCGAGCTGCCTGTCAGAAAACGGCACACGGAGGACATTATTTTGTGTTGGACAGAAAGTCGAAGTAATGGATTGACTACTATACCTAAAATTGAGAGATTTGTGAGATGATCTACGAAACTCATTTTTGCATGTCAACCTGCATATGATTATTTAGTGTGGTACAAAAGAACAATGTGCCAGACATGAAGAAACCAGATTCGCCATTTTTTATTCAGTACAAATGAGAACCTGTACAGTATCACAATGTTCCGCGCATAATGAAACAATTTTTACGCGATAGCGGCTACGCAGAGCTGAACCTTTCATGTAACGTGGTGAGCAGGTTATTTTATAAATTTCTGAACTCTAATCGCATTCCTATCATAATTTAGACAAGACACGCTACTGTTTCTGGGCAGTAGTGCGATTACTTTTGTAGAAAATTCAAAAATTACGAAGGAGCTGACGAGGATATGACGCTACTTGCGGGTGAGGCAAAAAACATTTTTCCTTGTTGACGCATTGTTCTAGGTTTAGCGAACACATATAGCAAAAAATGAGTTAGTCGCAGTAGAAATACTTGAGGACATAAACTTATCAAACACCCTGTAAATGCCTGATTGGTATTGTTATCGCTATATACTCGTTTTGAAGATTGGGTCATACCTCTTCAATCGAGATACTCGAGAAATGCTTATTAGAGCAGATCGACTACAATCTCTTTCAACATAATTAGCAATATTCTCTGTTCAAATCTTGAATTGAAGCACATTCGAAAAGGACACAGCTGACAACGTATAAAGATTCGTACATGATCAGTTGCGCCTACGGTTATGTAAAGGTGCGGCAAATCGCACAAAGACAGGAGGCCGACAATCAGGATGTAATTCGGCGAGTGCGGAATGTTCAAGCTTGCAAAGTAAGTGGTATCATGGTTACGAAAACACTCGCTGCGTGTAATCTCTTTGATTCAGCCTGGAAATGCGTCGAAAAGAAGCTGTAACTGGTCTGCTCGCTGATGAGCTTGAATTAGAGGAATTTGACGACGATGTGTCTCTACCATCTAACAGAGAAGAAGATCCCACTACAATTGTGTTAGAAGAGCAGCCCGGCCCATCTAATCGCACTGTACGTTACGCATTAGCTTTCTGTGGTCAACCGAAATCAGGCTGATAAACATTGCACTTTTTATCTACCACACTGAAACAATCTATTACAGATTCAACGCGACGAAGGTCAGGATCGCCATTGGCCGTCGAAGAATCACAAAAAAACGTCCCAAGAAGAGCAACGTTAAGAAAGAATCAGGTGGAAAGAAGTCGCATGCACCATCTAAGGACTCCGAGAAACTGCCACGGATAGTGACTGATAGCTTCGATGAAAGCAATCAGCTACGACATCTTCAATTTATGTTGCATATTGGATACTTACGTCTATATTGTATGTATGTGTGCATTTTATCCTTTTCAAGTTACGGATAAAAATCTACAATAGTCACTCACGCATGTTTCAATTAAAAATGTTACTGTCATACGAATGTTCCAATAATCAAATTAAGCTTAAAATTCTCTGATTCTCTATTTTCCTTACTCCGATTTTTTATTGAATTTGGGATTTTTTTTACGAAGCATGAGAACATCGCTCCTCAACACTCAGGAAAATCACATTTTTAATCTTAAATTCTACTTACCATACCAAGACTTATTCATGCTTTGAAGGCCGTTCTCTTTATCTCTCCAACGCTCTGGTGTTCTTCCATGTTTTTAAAACTCAAACTCTAAAACTCAAGATTTTTGAAGTTTCGCAGCGGTTGAAGTCCTGTACTCACAAGAAACCACTTTAAACTTACTTTGAAGAACCCTAGATACCTTGTTCAAGCCCCTTACATGCCTTAAAACTTTTTTGCCTTATCTTTTCGACACTCATCTATCTTTCTAGATCTTCCAAAAAAAATCCCAAAATTTTTCAAATACTCTCGACATACGAGCATTCAACACCCCTCAGAAACCACTTTGAACATTTTTTAAAAAACTTAAATACCTTGAATGAGGTTCTAACATGCTTGAATACTTTTCGCCTTATCCCCCCAACCTCATCTATTTTTCTGGGTTTTCTAAAAAAATCCTAGGGATTTTCAAAACCTCGAAACATACGAGCATTCAAAATTCCTCAAAGACTACTCTAAAACCAAAACAAAACCAAAACATTTTTTAAACCACAAGTAACTCAACCAAGGTCCTAAGATGCTCAAATACCTTCTATCTTGTTCCCCCAGCATTCCCCAATTTTTTTCGATTTTTTAGAAATTTTTTCGAAATTTTGGTTCGTCACTTACATAGTAATAAGTGATTTTTTCACTCCCAATGCATTTGCTCTGACCTACGGGAAAATTTTTTGACTATAGTCTCGCCCCTTTAGCTCCGCCCACTCTCGAGTTATGGCGTGCACTTGCACCAACATTTCCAGAACACGCTCCGGAATGATCATAAAATTCTGAAAGAATTATGGCGTAGTCAGGCACACACTAAGTGTGTGTGTGTGCGAAATTGCAGACTCCCAGCTTTACCGTAACTCGAAATCTGAAAGACCAACTTTTTGTCAAATTTTGAAAAATCGATTTTTTAAAATTCATCCATAATTCACCAAAAGCTGGCATTGAACAGCCCAGTTCAAGAAAGCACCTGCACAATTTTCTTCATTTTTCTAAATTGTTCAAACATGCTTTTTCGAATTTCGGAAATAAAAATCAATTTTCTCCCAAAAATCATAACTTGCTTTAAAATTATGGGAATCAGCTCAAATTCGAAATACGGGAAAAGCCTATAAACTACAATTTGTAAAAGAAATTTTAGGCTCTTCGCTTCGCCCAGTCGCAAGATCCAGGGTGAGAGCCATCGCCTCCTGTGTCCCATGGCTCCCAGAGGGAGCAATGGCACACAACACTTATCTACTGTACGCCATGGCACCCAAGTATAAGCGATGGCGCACATTGGGAGCGATGGGCCCCAAGCACATACCCCAGCCGTGAGTGCACCATATGCTGTTGAAAAGTGTCTTACAAGGGAGGATAGCAAACCCAAAGTGGCCGATCACTACAAGATGCATATCATCACAAGTAACTTGAGTCGCTGATCTCAAATCTGCCTTCCTCTTCTGCAGAACTTGTGAACTTCCAATTGCGAGAAATTTCCAAGGCTGAGGGTGGCTATAATCATCAAGACCTTACAAGGAAATGGTCAGGAGTCAAAGTGGCCAATCCATACAAGCTGCATACTTATGAGCAGCTTTACTGCGAAAAAATCGTATATAAAAATTGCGCTAGGCACATTATTGCTCTTCCAGCTCCCCTCTAGATACGGGTCATATGAAGTGATCTAGTTGCATGTTTTGGCCCAAAACTGAGCCGCGAGTGGCTTTGTACGTCCAAGTTTGCATTTTATACGCACAATTTCTTAGCAAAATAATGGTCTTCAACGGCTTATAATTCCGTCCCAAAAACGCTCTGCAGATAAGGAAGACAGATTTAGAGTCAGCGTTTTAGCTGCATCTAATGGCATGCAGCTTGTATGGATTGGCCACTGACTTCTGACCACTGCCTTGTAAGCATTTTGGACTCAGACCTAATGGAGAGCATAACGGGAGTTCTGTGCGACAGACAATGCCAGTATAGCTCATGTTCCACTGTAACGGACCGTCATCCGCCCAGCAGCGGTGTATGGTAGTGTGTGCTGGCCATGTACGCTAAACGAGGAGCAAGCTCAGTGTCATGGGAACAAGGATGCTACTACGATGGTCCTTAGGAGTCAACTGGAAGATCACATCTGCAATGATAGTATAAGAACGCAAATGAAAGTACCTCCAATTGCCAAAAATGCAGGGAAAAATCCTGTGATGATATGGCACGTGCGCAGAACGGATGAAAGTCACATTACAAGATTAGCCCTGGCGGTGCAGACAACAGGTAAAAGAGCCAGAGGTAGACCCGAGAGGGTAGATGGACAGAATCATGGCGGATCTGCGAGAACATGGTATAGGCGAAGATCTCGCCTCAAATAGAAAAACATGGAGACATCTAACAAGAAAAGCAGACCCCGCTTCAGCAGACACATGCGAGTTGGAAAAAAGTAAGCATACAGTGTTTTAGCTTTCTGTGTTACTCATGTTACACGCTACACCCTAGTCCTATTATCCGCGTACTTTTATCACTATATACTTTGCACAATTGATTGACCCGGAATTTTCACCGCAGAGACTAAATGATGGTGGTGGCTTTTTCTTCTTCGAGAAAATGCGATGCGGCTGTCTCTGCATTTTGTGCTAGTCGGTGGATTCCACTATGTTCCTGCGAGGATCTGCGCAGCATTGCCCGAAGTTCATCCATCCCGCCGCTTTGGAAGAGCTGTAACATAAAGTAGATAATATGATCGGTGACCCATCTGATTATAGGCGCCGTAAAACCTAATTGCTCGCGTGCTTTGAACACCAGCGTAAGCGAGCGGTCGTCGCGAACGACTGTCGGTGTTTACTATATTCCAAAAAATCTTTCTTTAACTTTCATGTTGTTATCGTCAATGCAAGGTATATCTCGACGAAAGCCCCCCCCCCCTCAAAAGTCTAAAAAAATATGTGTAGAAAGGACGCGCGCTCATTGTCGCTAGAAAGAAGCCTGTAGCGCTTCGGAACCAAACGTTTCCAGCCGCGCCGCGCGTTGGCGTTCAAAGCGACGCGCGGGCAATTGGGTTCTACGGGGCCTGTACCTTTGTTCCCAAATTTCCTCGGTTTACATGCGCCACAAGAGAGCGGACATACAATATACTTGATTTCTTCATAATCTTCACAGTACGTAAATAGTGACCAAAATGTGCATCTCCAATTGTCGTCAAAACATGATTCCTGAAAAGGGGTTGAACGCGTTTTTTTTGGGATTTTTATTGTTCTTATGCTCTCTAGCCCAAATGTATCGCCAAGTAATTTGTAACTTAATGTGCGAATGCACACTATACACGCTGACTGACGAACTGCAAAACTAGAATCTGCTAATTTACTGTGATTTCTCATTGTTTCCTTGTCTCTTTTATTTTTGCTGATTATGCGTTAGTCAATAGAACCATTTCCACACTTTGTCATACTAGAAAATGTTTCACCTTAAAGTTACCAGTAAGGGTGCCGTCGCTAATAGGGCTTAGTGTGCAGTCTCACAAATTAAGTTACAAATGAATCGAGGTTATTTTGCAAAAATCATTCATAGCTCTCCCTGCAAGATAGTCCTCAAGATCACTTGAGTAATACAGCAGTGGCGTACCGGGGGGAGGGGGGGGGGGCGGGGGGGGGGGCGCGCCCCCCCCCCCGAGAACGGGTCGCGAAATTTTTGAAAGTTACCTACATGGGTTATAAAAATGTGCAAGTGACTTGTTTTTACTTGTAAATAATTAAAATAATTTTTAAAATTTTTTAAAAATTCATTTTAGCCTTATAAAAATTTTTTTTCGGGGGCGTGGCTGACGCCACGCCCCCTTCTTCCAGATTTTAGGGGTCGGGGACCCGGAAAAATTTTGAGAAGCACCCCAAAAATTTTTTCGGAGTGCGTGGCTAACGCCACGCACCTTCTTTAGAAAAAAATTTTTGTCGCGCCCCCCCCCCCCCGAGCCGAAATCCTGGGTACGCCACTGTCATACAGTGATGTGTGTTGAGATCCGGTAAACGGCAAACGTCGAGGGGCTCGTTAGCCGTGGAGCGCACCAGCCCCTCAGCCGCAATTGGCAGTCGACAGTGCTATGGCAATTTTTCCCTTTTTTGCTTTTTTCTTATAATTTGTTTTTAACACATATCATATGAATACTTTAGCCATGAGTATGAGCACTATCTAGCTCTTTCTATTCCAGCATTGTTCTGTATATTGACTAGTCTGATCTACTCATAATATAGCGCACTTTATTAGTGGTAAACTTTTTGTGCCACCAAACCAGTGCCCTTTATCCATCCGAAAACCCTGGGTCATCAACGATCCGGTAGTTTTAACTTTTGCGAATCGACTGGGTTCCAATTCAGCTTGGTGGCTTTTCTATTGTTACGGGACTCAGTGGATTAAATTACTAGGTTCAATTCATAGGGTTCGTGAATACCGGTCTCGTCGGTCATTTCTTCTATTCCAGAGCAACTAAGCAAGGGTTGGGGCCAGACAACGTACGCTTCGAAAAGTCGGTACTATCCAAAGCATAGTTTCTGAACTGCGCGCTCTGGTGATGGTCAACTTCGACCAAGTAATCGGTATTCTATCATTCATTCTATGACTAGGAGACGCAAGACCGCATTGCACACATTGTCTACACACGCCCAATCTTTTACTTAGCAGGTTTATACTTGTTATTTATCTCGTCCAGGTTTATTCACTTCTTGCAGACAGGGACGAACAAACTCAAACTTGTTAAGACAATGTCCGCAATGCGGTCTCGCGTATCTTAGTCATAGAATAGATGATAATTACTCGCGATATGCGCAACATTCTGTAGCAGAGTTTTCTCCAGTTATCTTGGCTGGATGCAATGCGGACAATGTTCCATTTTTGTCAACCTCTTTCCCCGCCAGTCACTCGACCTGCTTTGCTTTCACACTTCTCTTCTCAGCACTACAGGTCGAATATATATCTTAAGGGAAGGCCTTTTTGTGTTTACAAGTGTGGATTTCAGTTAGAGAGTCATGCATATCGAGAACGTGAACGATACGAGACCTATGGAACAAAAAAAGACTTGTGCCCTTTTATACTGGACGAAGTTCTAGCATTGGCCGCATTGCACATTGTCTAAACAAGCCTAATCGTGTACTTAACAGGTTCATACTTGTTACTATTTCGTCCAGGTTTACTCACTTTTTCAAAACAGGGAAGAACAAACTCAAACTTGTCAAGACAATGGGGTCTCGCGTCTCCAGGCCATAGAATAGATGATACACTCCAAGGTCCCACCTAATTCGGCAACCTTAACTCATGCCGCTCAGTGCACGCAAGTTTTGGTCTGTGGGAGGATTAGGCTGGCTTGTCCAAATATACATCGAGTAGATTTTCCGCTTAGTATAGAGTACTTGCGCCGAGAAAATGCCTTAATTTCAAGCGAACAAGTAACTACGTCTGTGACGTCGGTCGCTTGCGCGCGCAAATTACCGGCATAATGGTGTGGCTATCTGTCCACTCGCAAATCACTGAATTTTCTTGGCAGCAAGTATGATCGGGCTTCCAGACTCGTTTGGAGGCTGGTTGCGGACTCCCCTGATTTATGAGAATAGAGTCAACGAGAGAGTAAAAACAATGCTGCAACGAGGAAGTTTATTTATTCTTAAATTCAGGGAAGTCCGCAACCCGCCTCTACATGAATTTGGGAGCCAATGATACGCTGAAATTATGCGGAAAATCTACCTTTGTTGGATGGCGCGGATCACCGATCTACCAATCATTACTGGCGGGAAAAGAGAGGCCGACTCGACCTCTCAGCAGGGTATAAATACCGGTGGATAGGGGGACCAGTCAGAGCGTGAAGATAGCGCTCCAGGGAGTTTAGAAGAGCCGTCGAAGAGGCGGACCTCTCCGCCCCGTTGTTGTAGATAGCGTTATAGTTCTTGTTGTTGTTAGGTTTGTGCCATAAGGATAAATTCTTGTACTCAAACCCGTGTTTCTCCATCGCAGGTTCTACTGGGACTTACCACTAGACCACGCCCCCCCCGTTACACCTTTAGCTAGTGTTTTCATGGTGTAGTATAGCCTGCGTTGCCAACAACATACGCGCGTAAAAGTCAGCGCACGCATTTCGCACGCAATTCGTTCGCATCCGTAAACATGGCATTTGTTCGCGCAGATGTTGTCATCATCGCAATGACAGTATCATAATCCAAGTCTACAGACTATAAGTGTCTCTTGCTTTCTCCTCTTGTTCGTAGGTGACATCTGAGATATATTGGTTTACCATTTATAGGCCCTGACGAAGTTTCAACTCTACGAAGATCTAAACATATAAGACGTTGTAGAAATCTGGTAATGACTTGACCATGCTACAATCGTCTGCTTGCCTGACACGTTCCACACACATAACCGTGTGGTGTAACGTGTTAGGTAAGCAGATGTTCAGTATCTTGAGTTAGCACATAAATCTCTAATGTTGGGAAATGGTCCCGGACCTACTTTGCTACTGTCTTTAGACAAAAATTTTGTCGCTGCTCTCCATCAACAAAGCAAAACCATTAAGGTGAGAAGTAAACATGTGAGAGTGGATTTCTTTTGGTCTTTTCGAGGATCAACCTAAGTTCTGACCATGAGATGGCATTGCGAATAATAACTTTACAAAAATTGTTCTGCAAATCCAGCGATAATGCTGAAAAACTCCCTTAGCTCGTAAGCATCCTGAAGCTTCCGCTGCCCTCTTTTGCAGTAATGAGTCAGAGAATAATTATCTGAACTCATTGATTACATTACTGAAATGAAAAGCTTAAAATTGAGCTGATATCCTTCTCTGTTTTTGAGATAAATTAACGAGTCTTATAAAATGCCGGATGAGTTAACTTTATCAAGGCTCAGAAGTGATCACTTAGAAAGTTTGTGATCCAGATCTGCTGTAACGCCTTCTATGCTATGATTTCGAGTTTTCTCTTCGTTGAAAAAATTCTCTAGGTATATGTGAGTAGTTCCGGGTAAGGTAAAAAGACATGACATAAAAGACACGACCTTACTCTATGGTAGCACCATATGCCCTTGGGGGTTAGCGCAACGATAGCGGTAAACAAATGACAAATTCATCGACAAATATGTGAATGAATGACAAAATTTATCACCGTTAAAAACGATACCCGACACAAAACGACGAAGATCATAAGCACATCGAAAGCTCGAGTACGAAAGAGTTGATTGTTAATTAACAAATCACAAACGAAAGCTTGACAACAACAAAGAAATTTACAAGGGTTAGTGAGAGAGTGGTTATTGCACGGAGCCCAATTAGCCGAAGATGCGGATTCGTCCAAGACGTCTACCGTATTTCCCGTTTATTAGTGGATTTGCGATTGTTTTTAATTGCTCACCACTCTGTTAAAAAGTCTTTTGAATATGTAATGTAAAAATCGCTTCGGGCACCATCTAACCAAATCGAGATTGGTGTTTTGATGCAATAAGCGAGGCCCATAACTGATTAATTAACCAAGTCTGACTGAGAAGGTCTGTCCCGAGAAAGTCGCTCCAGAAGGTGGATGCTGTTGGGGTTGCCACTCCATCAGCTTGAATCAAAAATAATGAGGCCGAAATTGGATTTCGCACTACCTAGGTGTCAGAAATGTGTGTTTTACAACGAAGGGTTTTAATCTATCTAGTAATAACTTTAGTATTGGGCTTTCCTTGAGGTCACGCATGTTGATGGGCGTGGCGACCCCATTAGCATCCATTCTTTGGACCAACTTTCTCACTTTAGAATACTCCTTTTGCAGCGGGGATTGAGCAATCACTAATTTTTATACCGCATTAAAATCTCACCAATCTCAAACTTGTTCAGACAGTACTCTTTCTGCTGTTAATGACATTGCAAAATATGAGTTAGTAGACGCTTGGCGCAACAGATTTTCAATTGATATAATTACGCAAAGTCCTTACTTGGTTCCTATCGATGATCGAATTCCCGCTGATGCTCGTATCGCAATTATACAACTTATTTATCTTCCTTACATCACCTTCAGAGAATGCAATTCTTTGACCCATCCGCTCCGCACCGCTCTTAAATGACTAAATTTAGCGGAAAGGAAGCTCTTGATTATTTTCTTACCTTTCGTGGAACTATAGTCTTCTTTCCGGATCCGCTAAAGGCGTACGGTCCATAGTGCATTATAGAGGAGTAATCGTACGGCTCTTTGAGATGATCGATCACGTTCAAATTGTATCCAAAATTCAATAAAATTAGGAGGGAAAGCTTCACATTTTCTTACTTCTCAAATTGATCGTCAGCTCCATTTTGTACATTCCGCCAGATAATCTCTATGTATTCATCGCGATCTTGCCTAAATTAATTTGGTATGTTAGCATTTTCTGAAGTATAGATTTCATTTATATATACAGTAGGTTCTTTACGGGTTAACGCACTTTTCATTCTAATACTAGGTTATGTAGAGGAATATAATGAATCGACGTTTGGCTGCTTGCAACATGACCATCTGACAATGAGAAATTTTTGGGGGAAAGAGGCGACAAAACTTCCGGGAAAAACCCAGACTTGCTTTTAAAATTTCTTATTGGCTTGTGACTTAAAATTTTTTAGAAAAAGACTGCCACCACTTCCGAAAAAAAGTGTTTCCTGTAACTAACTCGAATTTCTAAATTTGAAAATTATCTCAGTTACAATTAAAAGCAATTGCAGTGCCTGCCTCGCTTTTGAGCATTTTCTTGATAAGCAGCTCCAACGGTTACTCACCTACTATTTGAATTGACTGTTGAAAATAATTTTAGAAATATTGTATGTGAAAGTAAGAAAAATACTGAATTGACAATGAGAAATTTTTGGGGGAAAGAGGCGACAAAACTTCCGGGAAAAACCCAGACTTGCTTTTAAAATTTCTTATTGGCTTGTGACTTAAAATTTTTTAGAAAAAGACTGCCACCACTTCCGAAAAAAAGTGTTTCCTGTAACTAACTCGAATTTCTAAATTTGAAAATTATCTCAGTTACAATTAAAAGCAATTGCAGTGCCTGCCTCGCTTTTGAGCATTTTCTTGATAAGCAGCTCCAACGGTTACTCACCTACTATTTGAATTGACTGTTGAAAATAATTTTAGAAATATTGTATGTGAAAGTAAGAAAAATACTGAATTGACAATGAGAAATTTTTGGGGGAAAGAGGCGACAAAACTTCCGGGAAAAACCCAGACTTGCTTTTAAAATTTCTTATTGGCTTGTGACTTAAAATTTTTTAGAAGAAGACTGCCACCACTTCCGAAAAAAAGTGTTTCCTGTAACTAACTCGAATTTCTAAATTTGAAAATTATCTCAGTTACAAGTAAAAGCAATTACAGTGCCTGCCTCGCTTTTAAGCATTTTCTTGATAAGCAGCTCCAACGGTTACTCACCTACTATTTGAATTGACTGTTGAAAATAATTTTAGAAATATTGTATGTGAAAGTAAGAAAAATACTGAATTGAAAATAATTCAATATCTAGTTTATTGTGATTTATAGAGCATCTGCAAGTCTATAACCTTAAAATCTGAAAAAAAGGGTGCCTGGCACCCTCCACCCCCCAAAATGGAACTTTCTACGAAACTAATTCAACTCTCAAAAATAAAAATCATCACATTTGCTTAAAAGAACAAGTCACTTCGCAGTCATCATGTCATCACCAATTATCAATATTGCTATTATCATTCAGTAAATTGGAAGTAACTTGTTTTTATACCATTAACACCTTGATTTTCGCATGATTCGATTTTTTGTTCTCAACAGAGTTTTGTAGAAGGCTGATCTTGCGAATTCTCAAATTAAAATTTCTATTCTCAGGAATTTGTTGACTTTACAGTTTTCATCAAAACAAATGAAATGAAGAAGTTGTTGCTGAAAGTCATAAGCTTTGTAAACTGTTGTGGAGCTCCCAGCCGTCAACAATTTTCTCTTCTCTGGCACCGTCCAAAGTCTTATTGATAATGTTCAAGAAATCTCACCTGCTCTGTTCATGGAAGAAGCCGACCGCATGCATCAACTCATGAACGATTGTGCCCACTTGAATGCATCCGGAGTCTAGAGATAGCGGTTGTCGACCTCCAGTTCTAAATGTTTCATTAAACACTAACCTAAACTCTGTTGAGGATGTTTCTACCTACTTGCCCACCAAACTGTAACATCCATCGTCAGGATGTATATGAATATAGTCAACATGCCTGCTTGGATCACGTGGAACGAAACGAACGCAGGTCTTGTCGTGGTATTCCTCAAAACTATTTACTACTTGGAAAAGTAAGCTACAGCTGAACCTATATCGCTTTTTGTTGCTTATGACCTGGGTAGAAAGTAAATAAATAAAGCAACCTGCATAGCCCTTGCTATCACCGATCTTGAATATGAACCATACTGAGACGACAACGTGTACGGAATCTCTGCATTTGGCCACCGTCTAAAAAGAATCATTCAAAATTTGACTCTTTGACTTCAGGCTTGAGATAGATGATGGAAAAAAATCAATTCTGAACATAGAGTTTTCTCGCTTATGGATCACTAGCTGGCTTACCCGGCGCTCGGCCCTGTCAAAACACTATGATAAAGGTCCCATCCCTATGCCTTTACAACCTTTCCCTGTGCCCACTCTTCATGCCAATTCCCTAAAGCCTGTTCGAGCAGGTTTGGTGGTCTGTGAATTGCAGGTTTTTTACGAGCTTTTTTCTCCTCATGTGGGCTGCAATTTATCGTGTGAGGATCGAGCCGGCACAAAGGTTGCAAATGTCGAGTTGGAAATTGTTTATGGGAGAAACAGCAAAGCGGAATAGTACGAGGCGAGCCCTACAAAAACTGTTAACTACAATTGCAGAAAAGAGGGAGAAGCTTTCAGTATAAAATTAGCAAGGATAAACTTGTTTTTAGATGTCAGTGCTGGTCCTGAATGTATTCTTTAATTCAACTGGCTTGGCGGCTGGCAGGCGGGGCTGACCCAGGGCCCGGCACGAGGTGGGAAAACGGGGTTTTCCAAAACGAATTCCCCTTTGATCCCAATAAATTTTACGAATACTCCCTTGAGCCCAAAAATGACGTTTTGTGCTTGTGCAACGAGATTACCGGCCACACTTCGCCTAAAAGCGCTCGAAAGCGCCCAAATTGCTAGATTCCTCAAATTACTCCTCAGCAGTATCAAGATAGGAAACAGGAAGAAAAATAAGCAAGAAAAATGATTAAGGAATGAGAAAATATCAAAGAAACGCAGTCATAGGAATGAGAGACGCCGTTCCCGCGCGTATCGATTGACTGGGGCGCGCTTTCCATCTTAGAAAGCTAGGCTGCTGATGCGATTTTGGGCTCTAACAAGGACAAGAGGAGGAGCTTTGGAACCAAAATTTCACCATGTAGTAAACTTTAGGTGTACAACAGATTTATGTAAAAATTTTGAAAAAATTATGTGAATTGAGAGTTTTGCCGACCTCAGGTAGGAATTAGGTCGGCAAATGCCGACCTAATTTGGAAATTAGTTAAGCACGCTCTTCATTCACATAAGTTTTTCATAATATTTCACACTTTATTACTTAGTCCTAGTGCGCATATACACACCGAATCCCACGCGATTTCGTTACCTCTGCGTTGCAAACGAGCCATTTTTCCATTTCTTTGGTAGCGCAAAATTTTCAGATAAAAGTTTGCCACAACCTTCAGTCACATAATTTTTCAATGAAACTCCCCAGGTTAAGCCCTGCAAGCCCGTGTGCATTTACTTACCAAGTTTCATACCATATCGTTCATCTGCGCGTTTAAACGAGCCGTTTGAATTCACATCTTCATTTACCAGTTTTGCGAAATTCTCGGAAAAAATGCTAATTACTCGTTCCGTTCACATAAGTTTTTCATAATTTTTCATACTATGTTTCCACTAGCCTCTCTCCGTTCGCATACAAAGTTTGGTGTCATATCGTTACACATACATTGAGAACTAGTCATGTATGCTGTTACAAATAGCATCGCTTGGGCGACGTCGCGCGTGCGGCTATTAGCGACGGCGCGGTTTGACGCGCGCGAACTCCAGTGTTCGCCTGTTGAGGCACATAACATGCCAAGATAAGTAGCGAGCATGAACTACCAATTTTTTTCCGGGGCTCCGCCCCGGACCCGGCAAAAACGATTTCCCCTTTGCTTTTTGGCCCCAAAACGATTTCCAGCTTGTCATTTGCCGACCTCGTGCCGGGCCCTGGGCTGACCTAATTAAGGCTAAGTAATGATCAGAGAGCACGCTCGGAGAGAGACGCAGACTGCCTAGCAGGCGCGAGCGGCCTCGATTAGGTCACAAAGTCCCGCCCTGTGAGCGGAAATAATGGTTGCTCATGTCAAAATAAAGTTTTTTTTAGATTTCCAATATTCCCGATAGCTGTTACCTATGAAGTCAATAGTAAGTCTTACTGTAAGTCTTACCTATATGCTTGTCGAATGGCGCTTCTTCCTAGCTTGTTGCTATCTTCAATAAACTTTTTGATATCGTCGATAGCAATATCGCCTTCCATCTTGTTGCCCATCGTTGGATCATCCTTGACCTTGATACCTGCATTATTTCCATCTTAAACTAATGAACATAATTTTTTGGGACAAGGTTATTCTACCTATTTTGGTGACATCTTTCACCAAGGAATAAATTTGAAAGTCAGCTTCGCTGAGCACAGTCTCTGCATCTGGTTTACTCTTATCTATCACCTGGGATTCAGAACTATTGATTAGGGAAAAATAAAATTTTGGTTTGCTCACATCTCTAGTAGGAATAGCAGCAGCAGCTCCTGTTGCACTTTTGACGAAAGAAAGCACGAATAAATAACATAATGCAGACATGTTGACTAAATATATACAGAATGGCGTAATTGACGGTCCGGGATGAGCTGAAATTAGAAGGAATCGAGATTTTACTTATGAGGATTTACATTAGAGATCAAAGGAAAATAATTATGGCGTATTAATCATTGAGGAACCGGGAATCCTTGATTAGGTTCAAAATGATATTTAAGCGATCAGAGGTTGATTTGACAAGACGGTAATGAATAAAATTTGAAGGAAACTGCTTGAAAAAACCGTCGCATGCTCAAAATTCGATTTTAGACATTCAACTCCGGGATTGGTAAAGCACTAATTGTAAATCTGAAAATATTTAAAAACTATTCATGGAGAAGTTATGGAAGTGCGACGATGGCGCAATATTTTATCGCGATTCATTAGAATCTTTTATAAGATAGCTTTTCATGCAAGTTTGTAATCTATCGTTTTATTCGATTGTTATTTATTTTGATTATTATTATTTTTATTCGATCCCGTAGCGGCTTTCTTTTCAAAAAAATCTAGAATGTAAAAAAACCAATTTTCCGTCTAGTTCCGACCATGCGATGATTTCACCAAAGTCTTTACATCATGCTTGTTTTTTCACAGTCCTCTGTAAGTAAACTCTGAATTTTTTTATTTTTTGAGTCTATTTCACTGCATTTCCAAAAAACAACATCTGATCTTGTATATAATCATTCTAACTACGTTACGGGGTTTTCTTTTTCATCACATTTGGTGAGCTGTTACCCAACTTCTTCTTTTGGTTCGTGAGATTCGAAATGGATGATTATTATTTGAAGAAAATAGGAGTATCCATTGACTGAAGGCAAGTTTCATCCAAAGTCAATAACACTGGAGAAAGCTCAAAGTGATTTTTGGCGGATACATATTTGTTGAAAGACAGTTGAGAGAGATGTTTAAAAGTGAACTTTGCAGAAAAAGGGCATGTAGCACTGCATAACAAGTTTCCTTTATACGGAAAGATTTCACTTTGGGGCGGAACATCACACATCCGCTGGACAGTAGAGACTTAGCCATTCTATCAACAAAGCGAGTAAAAGTCTGACGCGCGGAAAGATCGAAATCAAAACGAGCGGAGTGACCAGTGCTTAGCACGGAAGGACTCAGTGCAAATAAACAATACTAGGTTTCGAAAGTTCTGTCCCTTTTTTTGAGAGGTCGTAATTCCCGGCATAATAATGGCTGAAAGCTCTTGAACATGCATTTTCTTCCCTCTTCAACTCATATTCGCGAGTCAGAGTGTACCGATTGTTGCTCAAATACCCGTTGTTTTTCATCTGACTAGAAGTTCGGGAAATTTCAAAATTTTTGTCCTAGCCTTTTCAAAAAATATCAGACAAATAAAGGAGGGTTATACGCTGCTGTTTTTTGATAATACGATCGTTTTTTCTGCTTTTTGAAATCTTACAAAATATCTTCCTTGAAGATCTCGATTCTTGGTAAAATCGTTGACACGACTGCAACAATTATTATACATATTATGAAAGTTACCAGAATTTTGCAAACCAGAGCTCGACTGCGATAAAAAAAATTTTGCAATATAATTGTTTCGAAAAACCATGTTTTGTTTTGGTATGTACACGCGCAACATGTGCTTAAAAAGCTGTAGTTTTCATCCTATAGTAATAATATAAAGTTCAAAAAATCAATCTCCAAGGAATCCAAAATGGTTAAAATGTAGCAAAAGTTTTCTTCTAAGCATTAGCCATCATCGTTTTCTAAATTGGTAAAAGAATTTTTTTAATTAGTTGAATCAGACATTTATCTCATAGAATTGCTGAAATGAACATGGCGATAACTTCGCAAACAGTGTACAGTGCACAGAGAAAATCTGGTGAAAAAGCAAATAAGGTGAACTGAATGATACCTCAGCAGTCAGTCGGTCATTTATGAGTTTTGGTAACTGAAGATGAACAAATCTTTCGGGACGACCTGGTAAATGAAGTTAAGTGAAACTTTATCTGAAGGGAACTGAATGCTGTTTGTTTTGTTATAACTGCTTTCTAGAAAAATAGCCACAAGTTTTCAAAAGGAACAATCACTCTTGACGTCTATAGACGGAAGAAAGATGCAAGAATAAAGTTGACTTTGTGCTTTTCTTGCAAGAACAATTGAAGAAGCGTTTTGGCGATAGCAAGAAAACAACACAATAAACACACAGTGGGGCTCATCCGCACAACTGAACACCCCGGTAGCATAACTGGTTTCGGGAAGACAAGAAGCTAAAAGGTCACCGACACTTCAATTCACTTTCTACCAATGTCAACAAAGACACTAGCCTTTGCGGTAAGAATTGCGAACTGCTCAACCTTGTACTTTAGCGGTGAATGAAACTTTTGAAAGAATGAGAACTTCAAGCGCTATGATCAGGTTTGAGTACAAAAGCTTTCATATGGAGCGCAAAGGTCGTGAGAAGAAAAAGATGAAGCTGATTGTTCCTCTAATGCAGGTAAATCAAAAAGAAACGGCAAGGTTTCGTTTTTGCACTTTCGGATGCTTATAAATTGTCTTTGACAATTTAATGTACCTGTTGAAAGCCTCATAGCCGGGGAGGGGGGGGGGGGAGATCTTAGCATAATTTTAAAGTTTGCAGCTTATATCATCGTTCCTGTGTGTGATTGATATACTTGTATAGCAGTGGTGATACGAGATATTTTTCCGGGGAGGGGGGGAAGGGCTGCGCGAAACAGCACTCCGAAAATTTTTTGGAATGCTATCATAATTTTCTCCGGGCATATGAAAACCCATAATATCAAGAAAAGAGGAATCGAAAAATTTCACAGGGCTAGTTTGACTTTTTGAAAAAAAAATGTTGCAAATATTTACGTGTAAAAAAGCCATCACCACAGTTGACCCATGTGGGCCGCTTTTGAAAAATTTCACAACCCAATTTTGAGGGATGGCAATGACCGCGACAGATAGAAATGATCTCTGTTTTGACAGTTTTGGTAAAATTCGCTCCAATGCTAAATACCTGCAATTTTTACTAAATATTTCATACAGAATGTACATACAAGAGATGGTGAAGGTATGCCCAAAGTATGAAAGTGAGGAAGCAAAAGTTAACCATCATCCGAGACAAATCCACTGCGATTTACCAGAACGATTCACTGACATAGTCGCTTTTTCAAGCCGATTTCCTCCACCTGTAAACATCTGTCACAGTGGCTTTCGGCTTGAAAATCGTCAAGAAAAACTTTCAAAAGATCAAAATGCAGTTTCTTCGCAATCTGGCGCAATTTGATTTTAGAACTGAACAGAATTAACCCACAATTTTTAAAAATTTATGAGATCACTTTCAGTTTTTAAAGAATCTTTCCGAATACAATGAAATATATCGTAGTGAAGCATTGGTTTTGAGGGTGCATCATATCATAGTAGCCGAGAAAAATTTTGAAGAACAAAAATTGCGGAATATTATTTTAGAAGTTCCACTTCCTAACATACCATTAGCTGCTATAAAACAGTACATATATTAGTGGCTCTTTAGCAAGTAGTGATTTTGCTGCTGCGCTAAAGTTTGAGTTTAGAGGAATTATTTGCTAAAAGTACTGCAAAGGTTTTAAAGTATCAAGCTTTTTCCGTTTTTGTGGAAAAGCGGGATTCCTTTCTGATTTTCTACCTTTTTCGAATCGGAGAGCGAAAACCGGTCTTTTTCCGCCAACAAACGCCTTAACACTCTCTTTGACAGTAAAAGTCTGCAATCGTATTGTGCTCAAGATCTTACGGCACAAAAGAGCCGCAATGGTACAGTCGAGTAGATTTCCTGCTTAATATAGTGTCCCTGCAGACGCGACAACGCTGGGACGTCAATAATTGCTTTGCGAGTTCCCGAGCTAGTGTTTTCCAGTGTTTTCTTTGCTTATTCTATGTTTTTAGGTGATTCGTTGCTGATAAAGAAGAAAAGGGTAAGTTAGAGAGTAGTTTCTGTTTTCTGAGAAGTTCTATTATCGCATATTCACAGATATCCACGTGGAAGCATTTCGCGTCAGCTTTTTGTCTATTTCTTTGTCATTTCCTTTTCTTCTGTCACTTCTTCTTTCGAACCTTCGTCTTATGAGGCGCTTCTTTGAACGCTAGTTGGCTTGTCTTCCAGCAACTTCGGCTTTCACCCATAAGAAATGGCATTTTAATCAAGTACTTCATGTGATAAAGACAATAGGTCAATCGTAAAAACCCACTAGCGTTCAAAGAAGTACTTCACAAGAAGAAAGAGACATGAAGTAACAAGAAAATAGACAAGAAGCTGACGCGAACTGCTTCCACGCGGATATCTGTGAATATTTTTATTTTTTATTTTATGAATATGCGATGATAGAATTTCTCAAGAAACAGAAATACTCTCTAACTTACCCTTTTCTTCTTTATAAGCAACGAATCACCTAAAAACATAGAATAAGCAAAGAAAACACTGGAAAACACTAACTCGGGAACTCGCAAGGCAATTATTGACGCCCCAGCGTTGTCGCGTCTGCAGGGGCACTATATTAAGCAGGAAATCTACTCGACTGTAGGTCAATCTTTGAAAATATTCTCCCGATTTTGTAGCAAATTCTTTCAAACAGTGTAACCGTTTCCAAAAGAATTCCGTTTTATAGTGGATTTTTAGCAAGAAGAGTGAAAGGAACAAAAAAAAATTGCTTTTTTGTAAAGGCGCGATTTCGCGATATGAACTCAGCTCCACGAAGGTGAAAGCTTATTTAAGAGACAAAGAAAGGAAAATTTTGCATGAAATTTTCACCAAAATTGGTTTCTTTTCAACAGCAAATCAAAGAAAAGCATTGTGAAAACACAATAGTAATGATAATCATAATGATAGCGATACCTTTATAACGATAGTGGATATGTCCAAAAACATAAGTTCATTGAGAGGTAAAGGTTAACAGAATTTCATTTACTCGGCGAGAGACAACAAACTCCCATTCATGGTTTGTTGTTAGGCTACTCAAATAAACAGTGGGTTTTATAAACTCCTTCCGCGATCTATGACTCATGTG